AAAATGAAAATACTTTCAATATCAGCTGCTGTTCCCCAGAGTAAAATGCCGTATGATAAGATACTATGAAAGTAACTAAAATATACAGTCCTGGCAGTATCTATATCAGTAAGTTGTCTTATCTTTCTTACGGCATAAGCTGCTGAACTAAGTTTACCAGCCAAAAGCGTAATGTGATGACTCCATTGCAGTTTTGAGTCTATCGTTATACCCAAGAATGTAGTCGAGTCTACTAAATCTAATTTTTCATTATTTAATTTAATTCCAATATGCTCAACTTTTACATTAGGTAAGGAAAATTGAATACACTTGGTTTTATTAGCATTTAGCTTTAGATTATTGACATTAAACCATTGCAGAACTTGAGAGAGAGCATTATTTACATCGTCATAGTTGTTTTTGCGCCTGTCAACGTTAAATAATAAAGATGTGTCATCAGCAAATAATACAATCTCACACAAATTTTCCACAAAAAATGGCAAATCATTTACATATATTAGAAACAGGAAGGGACCTAAAATTGAACCCTGGGGAACGCCCATTTCCACATGAGATCCAGATGATCTAACACCATTTACCTCTACAGTTTGTATTCTGGAACTGAGGTACGACTGTATCAATTTATATGCAGTACCTTTGACTCCATAATGACTCAATTTCAATAACAGCGTGTGATGATCAACGCAATCAAAAGCTTTGGATAAGTCGCAGAACACTCCAAGGACATTCTGCGACCTCTCCCAAGCCTCCAATATACTCCTTACAAGTGCAACACCCGCATCAGTAGTAGATCTACCTCTAGTAAAACCAAATTGTTTCCTATGCAAAAGTTTATTAAGGTTGAAATGAGGCATCAATTGTTCCAGAATAATTCTTTCAAATATTTTACTAAGAACCGGTAATATTGATATAGGCCTATAGTTTCCAGGGTCATTTCTATTTCCTGATTTAAAAAGAGGTATAACTTTACTGTATTTCATTAAATCCGGAAATACTCCTTGATCAATACAGTTATTAAATATATCAACTAGATAAGGAGCAATAACGGGTATTATACTTTTAATAACTTTAGTAGAAATACCCCATAAATCACTTGTATTTTTTTGTTTAAGAGATTTAAAACACTTAATAACATCAATAAAATTAATATGTCTGAACTGAAACACGTTATCACACCTAGGTACATATTTCTCGAGCAAAGTCTTGGCAGCCACCGATGAAGAACTTAAATTAGATGTAGCCACCAAAGGAATATTAACGAAATATTCATCAAAAATATTAGCGATATGTTGTTTAGATTTTATTAACATGTTATTCGACTTAAGTTCAACAATATCGTCACGTGACCTTTCTTTGCCTGTTTCACGATTTATAACATTCCACGTTGTTTTGATTTTATTATTCGATTTACATATTTTATTTTTAATAAAATTAGATTTGGCTGTTGCACATACCTTTTTAAAGGTTTTAGAATAACATTTAACGTAATCAATAAAACCTTGTGAATGATTATATTTTCTTAGATGATACAATTCATAAAGTTTGTTTCTACTTTTATAGATACCAGTCGTAGCCCAGTCACAGAACTGTAACTTTGGAGTAAGTTTCGAAGTTTTTAAGGGAAAAGCCTTATCAAATTCATTTCTTATTAGATTAAAAAGATCCCCAAAAAGAATATCAGGATCATCATGTGTCCATGGGATATGAGAAATACTATAGTCAATGTTTTTTTGAAAAATTTCTAACCGGTTTTCTGTTACTGGTCTCAATTCAATCACTTTAGATTCATTTGTTACATCTATTTTATATTGTATTTTTAAGCCATAATGGTCAGATGTAATACTATTAAAAATGGATTTATTATCAGGAGTACTATCTGTAAATACGTTATCCAAACAAGTTGCTGAATGTGATGTCACCCTAGTAGGCTCAAAAAATTGATGGGTCAAATTAAAACATTTAAATAATGATATTATACGTACTGACATTGAATTTTGTTCAAGAATATTAATATTAAAGTCACCGCAAACAACCAAAAACTTATTTTTCGACTTTAACTTTTTCAGTACATCCTCCATCACAGATTCAAAAATGTTGAAGTTACCTAGAGGGGGTCTGTATACGCATACTATTATCATCTCATTTAATTCCACACAAGACAGCTCAATGCTACGTTCAATTGAAAGGCCAGCTATATCCTTTCTATCCTTACATTTAATATTTTTGTTAACAAAAATCAATGAGCCGCCATGTATGGCTGTCCTACGAACATAAGCACTCAACAATTGAAAGTTGTTTATGTGATACGACATTTCACAAAGCTTGAGCCAGTGTTCTGTTAAACATATAATGTGTATGTCCTCACTTTTTGAATACAATTCTAATTCTAGGTCTTTGCCAGCCAAACCTTGTATATTTTGATGAATAATATTAATAACTCTTTTATTAGGTTTGGCTTTTGTCTTTAAGCTCAGTTTAAAACTGGGCTGGTTAAGTTATTAATAGAATTAATATTTCTTTTACTAGAAATACTAACACTATTTTGTCGAATACAGTTAGTTATACCATGTATAACCGTATTTTGTATATTAAAAGCTAACAAATTAGCTATCTGGGTCCTATATTTCTTTGCGAGATACATAGTAGGTATCTGTAGTCAACTTAAAATATCTAATATATTTATTTATATCGAAATATAAAAATACGTCACTATGACTATTAATTAAATTATAAAGACTTAAATTTAAATTAAAGATGCGCTTATTCTGTTCCCTAGATAAGTTATGTGCATATGGGAAAGCGCTAATTATTATTTTACAATTAGATTCAGATTGAATTTTCAATAAGTGCTCAACACTTTTTGTAATGTCCCGTATTGATAATCTGGAACTGTCACCACACAAAAACAGTAAGTTAGTATAACTATCCACATTATGGTGGGTCAAGTTATTTACAATTTCATGAAATGATTTTCCAGGAGTACATATATTTATAATGTTTTCATCACTGGAATTTTTAATTAATTGTCCTAGCCCCTGACCTAACTTGTCTGAGAATATCATTGTTTTATTTTTATTCAAGTTTTCAGAAAGCGCTGGCTTGAAAGGAGAGTTATTATATGTTGTACCAATTGTTTGTATATAGACCGATGAATGACCAGAAGTATGGGAAACTTGATTATTATCTGTATTTACATTTCCTTCTAATGATAATGTCAATGATGATTGATTCGAAGAACCAATCAATTGACTTTTAATCAAGGAGTCATAACGTTCTGCGTTGAAATTGCACAGTTCAACTAATTCTGTTGCAGATTTTATGTGCTCAGTTATTTGACTTTGTGCACTAGCATATTTATGTTTCATTGAATCTAACGAATCATGTAAGTTTTGAATTTCTAATAGTAATTTCTTTGTATCCCGGTCATACATCTGCCTACTTTCATGTAATTTTGTATTATATATGTCAATGGAATCCATCAGGTTAAGCTTTTCCTTTCTAAGAGCTATATTTTTATAAAAACAATTGTTTTTTTTGACAAGTTTCTCAGTTTTTTTTATGAATTTACTGATTCTGATATATTTTTTTAATTTTTTTACACTTGTTATACTATTATGTGAAACCTTAGTACTAGCTACAGGCTCTAAATTTAAGTTCATGTTTAAAGGTAAGTTTAAGGGTCCTCCGGGAGATGCCATTAGTTCTTCAAATAGGCTTTGCGTGTGTGCAGTTTCTTGAAGTTGCTGAGCTTCTGTATAATGAGCTATTTGCTTGTTTGCTACACAGAGCTCTCTTTCAAGGTCCGTAATACGCTGTAGCGCCCTCTCAAAAGTGTCAAACTGCTGGTCATAAGTACTGATAGTACTATTCAGTTCGTCCCGTTGTAAAACAACTTCTACATGTTGAGAGTGTAGTTGGGAAAGCTCATTTTTGAGCTGGGTATTCTTATCAATGATTTTCTTGATTTCAGTTTCACTCTCATCACGTTCACGAAGGAGCTGACTGCAAGTTTCCTTTGTTAACTTCAGTTCTTCCAGGGTTTGCCTTAATTTAATTTCAGTGTTTTGAGCTGTAGCTTTGCGGGTCATCATTTTTGTTATTTGTATAAAAATCTGAAATAATTATAACAGTATAAGTTTCTTTTAATATACTTTAGAGACAAGGGCAATTCTTTTTATATATAATATAATTTGTGAAAGCAGATTCTTTTTTTTTATGAAGAGGGACTGTAACTATGGGAAAAGTTAATGCTATGAATATTAATGAATAGTATTTATTATATTAAATACTTTAAAAAGCAACCATGTATAGGTACTTTCACAGCTCAAACAAAGTTGGTAGACAGAACAGATTCAATTTAATAGACTTATTTTAACTTTGTATCCAGCTTAATGTGACAGAAGTAAGTGATGTCAAATTTAAGTTAATTATTCAATCTTTGCCAAATCAAATATTGAATATTTGTTTATTATCATGTATTTTGGTAAACAATTGATGAAATGTTCGTGATGACTTATAGAATTAAATAGAATAGAATAAAAACAAAACTGTTAAACTTTGGATGAGATTGTTTTAGAATTACCTACATATTTTAATACTTATTGAAATTTTTGAACTGTTATATATTTATGAAATAATGAAAACAATACTCCCCAGGTTTAAGCAATAGCCATTCCAGAATATTTGGTGCTAATATTGCTTATAGCCGATATTTCTTCAACTATCCGTTGACAGTTTGATGAGAACTTGATGTCTGTGTGTGTGTATTAAGATGTGTATTAAGATAAATCTACTTAAACTTGTACACTGGGGGTTTCATTACGCTTGCCTTGACAATATATATCTCACCAGGTTCATTCATTCGGATAGCATCTCATAATTACACCAGGTTATCACAAAATATTAAAATTGCTAAATCATTCTGCAATTTTAGACAAGTTTACTCTTACAACTTCATATATTTTTATTGAACTTCCATGTCATTTATTTTTTGTTTTCAGTATGGTTGGTATTGGGGTCCCATATCAGTCGAGGCGGCAGAAAAAATACTTTCAAATGAACCAGATGGATCCTTCATTGTACGGGATAGCAGTGATGACCACTACATATTCACCTTGACCTTTAAATTAAACGGGCTAAGACATGTTAGGATAGAGCATGATCAGGGTAAGAACTCGCTCTTAAGAAGCTCAGCTTTTTATTACAACATTGAGGCTCATTATTTAATATCAATGAGGCAATTAGACTAAATTACTTGAAAATAGTCCTTCACACTAACCTGTCCTTCAACATTGATACTTTTATAATAGGGTGATGACGGGGTAGAGTTAACGAGATTCTATTTCGTCCGTCATTTAGATCATCAAAAAATAATGGATTCAAATCTATTCTTTTGTTAATCAACCAAAAAAATGACAAATAGAAAGCGCGTCAAAGTTTGGGAGTGGGGGCTCGACACGGCAAGTAAAAATTGAACCAAGACGTCGAAGTGACGTCTTGCGATATTTCAAAGCAACATATCTTTGTAACGCTTTGATTATGTGAGTAAAGAAAAAATAAGTGTCCAATACTTTTTAATAATCTACCTGATGGATTAAAACAAAAAAAAAGTAACCATCCCTATTATCTGCATGAGTACGTTTGCGGTTGAGGTACTTTTCTTTCGCTGTTATTCAAGTAATTTTAAACACTTACGAAAGAAGAATGCCTGATATCGTCCCAGGTTTTGTAACACGTAGGCAAATGAGAGGTCTTCTCTTCTTCTCGTTGGCAAATATCACAAATAAGAGGTCTTCTAAAAGTACTTTAGAAGACTTCTCATTTGGGATAAATTTTATTTGTATGGCAGTAATTTTCTATCTCATGCAAGTAAAAAGTTATGAGCAAAAACTACAAAATAACCATTAAAAATGTTTTTAATTATAAAGGTTATAAAATCGGCAATTGCTTCTTTGTATAGTAACAAAATTCCTTGCAGAAAGTATAAACAAAATACCTTTAAAATGTGATTGAAGACCACTAATACAACATGTTCGTACTACTCATAACTTGTTACAAGCTTGGGACGGCACTCATAGTAAAATGGGCATTCTCCTTTACGATCTTTAATATGACAGTTTACCTGAATGCGCAACTATATCATTTCTATTCGGTTTTCAGGTAACTTTTGTTTCGGCGGTTGCACGATGTTCAAAGCTCAGACCATAGTGGAGTTTATCGAAAACGCTGTGGAGACGTCGAGAAGCGGCCGCTACTTGTTTTTCTTGAACCTGAGGCCGGTGCTGGGCCCCGTCCGTGTACAACTACTGTACCCAGTGTCCAGGTTTAAGCGAGTGCAGAGTTTGCAGCATATGTGCAGGTAAATGTATTGGGAAGTTCCTTATACTATCAATATCATATCTTTAAGAGACATCTAAGCTCGAAAAACGCTAGAGACGGGCTCTAGCGTTTTTCGAGCTTAGATGTCGCGCCAGCGTCCGCGCAACGTCGAAGCTGTACCGCGGTGCCTGTCGCATACAATTAGTGTGAAAATGTATACCGATGAAGAAACACTGATGTTAACATTAAGCCGGGTCTCCAGACAGCGTGTTTTGCCCTACACAATCAACAAAAACATATCAACATTTAACAAAATCGTCTTACACACGGGACCATCTACACAAAACTTTGTTTCACTACACATATTTGTTTGCATCATCAAAGTTTTCATCGGCCATTTCTTTGTTAACTCGTTAGCGGGGGCTCCGTTCCAAACCTATTCTCCGAGTAAAATTTTTCACTCTAAGGTCTCAATTTCGACATAAAATGTACATAACTTTTGTCAAATTTGTCATTTTTTGCACTTGGATCGAAGTTTTTTAACGTAGCCCGTATAATATCAAATTTGGCAAAAGTTTATGTCAAAATTCAAACGTCAGAGTGAAAAGTCACACTCGGAGCGTAGGTTTGGAATGCAGACCATATTAGCGAGTGGTAAAAAAAATGGCCTATGAAACAAAACCCTGCCTCTAGAGCCGCGCAGGAGGGATTTGTGTCCGTGTTTTCGATGGGGTTCGGAAAGAAAAAACTTTGTTGATGCAAGCAAATATGTGTAGTGATAAAAGTTTTTGTTAAGATGGTTTAGTTGAATGTTGCTTGTGTAGGACACGCCCTGGAGACCCGGCTTTTCGGATAATAAACCGAAAATCTGGCAAACAAATGAAGCAAACATCATCGTCCATATTGGGAAGATCCTCTCTGCAGTTTTCGAGTGGAGGAATAGTAGTTTATGCGACTGTCATTAAAGAAGGGATATTAAATCACGAGTCTGTTTATCGCATGAGTTTTTTAATACCTAAATTATATGCATACGCTAACTTCCTCATAGAAAAAAATGAAATTAAACAAAGTAATAAGTTAATAAAGAAGTATTTTACAAAGTTTTTCTGAAATCTCGAAAACAAAACACGATAGGCAGAAAATCGATTTTTTTTCTTCATCAAATAAATAAAAAAATATATATTTTTAATGGCGGTCGACTCAGGGTAGCGAATAAAAAGAGCTTGTCGACCCTTGACATTTCTATTCTACTTATCAAAAACTTTCGTTTCACCATACATTTTCTTGATGTATTTGATAAATTACAATTTCACCTAAAATAAAAACCGGAAGTGACGTCATAATTTTGCATGCAGGCAAAATCAAGCAACTTTTGGGGTGTCAACCTCTAGATCTATGGCTTTATTGTTCATACCCCAAAAATGATTCATGTATCTGATCCATAGGGCTTTTATACAGCCGGCTCTCGGACTATAAACAACATTATATTAGGTTGGGCAAAAAGTTTCTTCGCATTTTATATGAAAATTCGTTTTTTTTTAATAAAGTTTATTTACATTTAACATAAGTATGTAGCGGCCATTTTGTTCCATAACTTTTTGCCATCTTGTAGGTAGGGACATGATCCCATCGCTATGGAAATTTTAGGGCTTCTGATAAAAAAAACCACGACAAGTGGTTTTACAGTCCTCTCGTGATGTTAACCTGCGGTGGCACTACCGCCGGCCTTGCCGCCGGTTAAGCTGTGATGCGCACAGCGGCTTAAAACCTTGCTTTTTGGCTTAACCACAGAATGAAGCCGACGGCAAGGCCGCCCGGGTATGCGGGTCTGCCGCTTGGGTTGCTAGGACATTTCAGTGATGCTTAACAGCTTTGTCCAAGTTTCTGCGGCACGAACCGGCTGCATGTAGCGGCGGCATAGACGCGCGGTACTAGCCGTTGGCAGCATGTGCCGCCCGCATTGTGTGTAGGAGACATAAGAGAATTTTTTTAATATGTATTTACCCTTTGAACTAATTGTATATACAGGGTGTAAAAAAACCTTTAACGAAGTCGAAGGCCACGTATTTTCCCCATCATGACGATATTTTTTCTTCTGGACTATACCAGGGAAAGGACATTGTTCAGCGTCCATACATAGTTAGCCTAAGAACCAACAATCATGAAATATTATTTTCTAGGTTCAAAATTGTAAGTAAATGACTGTAAAAACAAAAATTATTGACGGACACTTCTGAGAACTTAAAATATTAGGAAAACTAAAAATTTTTTGAGGTTATGTTTAATATTCAACGAAACATAGGTCCACATATGAATTTAGTATAAACTCAGTATGAAATGAATTAATATTACAACTAATTCATTTTATTCGGTATGATTTTAAAGAATAACTATTAGGAAAAACTTGGTTAGGTAGGAATCATGAATAAAATAAAAACTGTAGTTTTGTTTTTTATTGAATATTTTTCACATAATTGTATCATATTGTTTATTGTATTTATTTGTATATCACATGTAGGTATATTGTGGAAATATGCAGCGTGAATGTGTATCAGGTGTTCTTGAATAATGTGGCAGTATGATCCTCTCAGGATGTTGTGGCACAGGTTCACTAGCACTTGGTAATAAGGGCTCTGCTCTTTGGTAACATCGATGGCATATTAGATAGCCGAAATAGTTAAATTAAAGGAAAAACAACTGCAAATAAACACACACAACAGGTAATCCGAAACGAGAACGCACTTTCCGGTATATTAAACTACTCTTTGGAATGCACGAATGCCACAGATTACTACGAATGCAAACTGCATGCACCACAACCACAGAGTAACGAGTTTTATGCCGGCCCTTCACTTGACAACAGTTTGTCCGTGTCATGCTTAATAAGGAATGAAAAGGACAGACTGATGTCATGATTTAAAATAGCAAATACGAATAGCCAAGTGAAGTGCCGGCATTAGGAAGAAAGAGTGGTTTGTTTGCAGCGCTGCCATAGATTATACACATAAAATGGTATTTATTGTCTCAGATTATTTTGTAAACTTTTTAATTTAGTTTACTTAACTGGAAGTGTCCGTCACAATCTAAATACTGATAATTATCGCAACATTACATTCTTTGCGTAGCGTCATAGTAGCGCGCCTCGCTATACATAACGTAATGGAAAAAAAAATTAACTTAAAAATACAAATGATTCCCACGTATAATATTTTGTAATATTACTTATTTGGGTGTACAGAATGCGTAGTTTTAGTCTTTGTCATAGGTTTTCTTACACCCTGAATGATGTCACTTGTGATCTTTGTGTGAAATTTTATTGTTTTATACTACAGCCACACTATTGCACTATCGCGAACATTCTAGCGCATTTTTCATTTTAGCGGTGGAACATTAATTCTAATTTACTTACGCTTTACGTTCTCTTGCAGATTTGTGATATTAAAATACGTACGTCGTGACCTCATCAGTAACCTGCCCCTACCAAGACGTCTTTTAGATTACCTAAGTGCTACTCATTATTACTCTGAACTACTCGCCGATATATAGGTGATAGATATTTAACTATTTAGTATTTACTATTTAGGCCTGACGCTTACAGACTGACCTTTAGCGCTCGCATATCTTCATATCGGTGACTTTCATTCAATGAATTCACTAACTGTGCATCACATTTAATGATAAAAAGCAGAACACGCGGTGTTCGTCGTTTTTCTGTCAGCGTAAGGTTGATATTCGCCTAACATTAACGGCCCCTGGTTATACACCAACTTTTTTACTGATAAAGTAATAAATAGAGGAAATATCGAATCTTAATTTAACACACATATGAATTTAAAATTCAATCGTATTATAGTTTATTGAATTAATGGTATATATGTAACATATATATGTAAATGTATTTGCTGTTTTTACCCTGCACACTTTTTCGAGTATATTAGAGCCAATATGAATTTATTTAGATGTATAAGCAATAGATACCAGACTTCGTGCCTCAATGATCTATAATTTTGAACATAAATATTCGAGACATGTTATAGTTTTGAAGTATGTATGTATACAATATTAGATGATTAGATGATATTCAGCTATTTACTGCATATTAAATGAGCTAAGTGCAACCTAAGCAATCCTAGCAAGTACAACTTAATTTATTTATGTAAAGAACTCAATAATCACATTACAAGTAGCTGTTTGACATTAAGGGTGTTATAATTTTATTTATTTTCAGGTTGTGTGGAATTAAAATTAGTAATTTTAGAATAACGTAATGTTTTGTAACGAAGTTATATTTAAATATTTATTACAGTTTAGCTTAACGCGTTAATGAATGAATCCCTTTGTATGTAAATATTACGTAACGTTGTATGTTTTCATATTGTATGTGACCTATACTTATTTAAGCCTGATAAGAAAAACTGGTAAGGATTTATTATAACTATTCGGTTTGAAATGACGCATATATGTAAATCGTGTCGCTTTTTTCTGATCATAGATCCATTAATAAATTAGTTATACCTACCTTCTATTCACAAACATAATGTATAGGGTTATAAGTTTAAGTAAAGGGTCTATTTAAGTTTGTTTGGCAATTTCAATATGTTTAAAATGTTTTCACACTGTCAGGCTAGGTTATAATTTATTTTATGCAAATTCATAGTTATGAAACTTTAATGCAGCGGCATGTTGTTTCATAACCAGTCGATGCGTTGTTAACCAAAGATAATTATAAATTAACATTTATTGTATTAATGACTTTCGTTATATATTTTTAAAATTTGTTGTAATAAGCAAATACGGTCAGTTTTAACAATAATTAATAATTCCTTTTCAATTACCACCGTAACTTTAAATATAAGATATGACATTAAGGTATTACAAAGAAATACATATCACCTTGATACTGTTGAATAATGTTATATCGAACCTGTTACTGAGGTCTAATTTCTAAATAATACATGCTGTGTTACATATTGAGGGTTGATGTTTCAGCTCTCATATTTATTGAATCGTACAAATATTACATTTGTCACTGTTACACTATAGGTGATTGTTGCACGGTACCTACTAAAAATATCTATCACTAATACAAACATCAGATTTTTACTTAGAACCTGTTGAGGTTCAAATAACACTTTATTGATTTCTGATGCGCTAAATACTGTTAATGCGAGTCATGTGGAAGTCATTGTTACAAGTAACGGCATAACGGTTGTCTTTTTTTCTTTCAAGGCCTTCGATGATTATTCTGTTTGATACGTAGGGAGGCAGAGGCATGAATAATATATAAGATGCTGTAAAAACAACAGCGCAGAAAGACGTGCCCTAGAAAAGAAACATATTAGCCGCTTGAGATAGGAATCTGCTCCGTTTTGTAGGTCACACACATTCCAGGGTTGCTCTTTGAACAGTTGTTCTAAAACAGTTGCCTTATATACCATTTAGAGTAGTCACTTGATGTCGATCTATAACAATACTAAGCAGGGCACCCTTTAACATTGAGAACACTCATAGCATAATAATCGTGAAGTCTCCAGCATAATCACTCTTGTTGAACAATGGCTTTCGGTGCTAGGAATCAAAATCTACTAGATTCTTAATTGAACCACTAAATATCGTCATGTTTTCTTAATCGTGTAGGTCTTATTACCTTTACTCATAGAAATATAAAATACTATGATCCAAATAGGTACCCAGTGATATGTTTTAAAGATACTTTATAACAGCGGCCGGAATAATTCATAAGTGCTTATAATTCAATGAAATTGAATTGTGATGTAGTAGACAACATGCAATAAACGTGTAATTATAGGTAATTATTATTTGTACACACATTAATACAATAAACTTGATTTGTGACTATTTATTTTAAATTATTTTCGTGCGAAGAAACACGATAGCTGTGACTTCCTTATTGGATGGAATTGATTTCTTTCAAATGTTAATTTATCGTCAATGTGTTTATGCTTTTAGCTTAAATTCATTTAATCACTAATACGCACACGAGTACAAATACAATTCTTGCCAATATAGCCTAAAGATATCACGCTACTACTTTAGCGAGTTGCAATATATAATATCAAATGTATTAGTAGGGGAGCCCAAGCGAGGATTTTGGGATTTACTCGAGCGCGGTAGATTAGCCTAAGGGGAGCAACCTTACATCTTGTGAAGTACTCCCACCATACCTTAGTCCTTTATATAGTGTCGAACGTATAGGGCAGCCGATCAGATTATTAAAAAAACGATCGTTAGAAAAACTCGAGCGCGTGAGAATTAAGTAAGGTAAGTTAATTACAAGCAGAAAAGTATGCATTTCAATAATCGGACTTTTTTAAGTTTTGAAGTAAATTAGTAACGGAAATAACCTAATCTGCCGATTTAGCCGAAGTAGCTAAATTAATTAAGTATAGTGCATGCAGTCGCTGAGAACTATGTATAAATGTTAAGCCTATGAGGATGTCATCATTACACCTGATATTCTAGGGGATACACGAGCTTCAGGTATGACTTTTTTCAAAACTCCAAAAATATCATTAAATAAATAAAATAAAATTTAAGCATCACAACCATTGTTTGTTGCAGATACTCACAACATTGATGAAAACGACCAAGTCGAACCGGAGTTCGATTATAAAGATGATTCGGAATAATTAAATAAATATTCATTTAAAAAATGTCGTTCTAAGTACTATCTTTTAATAAATACAGGATATAATTTTACCTGTATACAACCATATTTAATATTTAATTTATTACATTTAATAATTTAAATAAAAAATATGAATTGAATAAAAAAATGTTTTCAAAGCGTCAGATTAAGGAAATTCTTCCACATAATTATCAGATTTAGGTAACGATTTTTTTTTTCATTTTCAAATAGCGGACATTCCTTATTGTCAAAGTTTCAGTCATTTGAATGTAAGCAACTGGAAGGTTCGCATAACATCAACGGCTGACACTCTCGAATAACTTTTTTATTATTTCTATATCATTTAAACCGGCAGATTAATACTTTTCCGTTATCAGAGACACATGGAGCGACTACACTATTAATATTTGACGCGCTCGAGTATGTTTACGTGACTATTTTTTTACATTTTTGAAAACCTGTACACGCCCCCTAGCAGTGAATAGGTATACATTATATAAACATTTCTTTTTAGCATCTAACCTTCACAATCCAATAGCCGCCCGAGTAATCCCTATTTAGCATCGTGGGCTCCTCTACTATATTTATTTAGATACATGTGCTATTTTATCATTAACTATTTTGTGATGAAGCTTATCTCATAGTCATACTCAATGCCTTATGTATGGCTTAACAATAAATACGTATAAATGAGCAGCAACTGTATGTAATTGCGACCGAAAACCAGATATGAAGTTTCCCTTTAAACTGAATACTAATCACAAATAGCGTAATGTGATCTCTTTAATAATAACAATTAACAAGCTGGCTGTGGGTTGGCTAATGTGAATAAATATTTACCCATTATACCTAGGAGTAATATTTAAAACCATGCTACTGCCAATACTACGAATCTAATAAATAACAATAGTATGATAATGAGCGAAATTCTAACTTAGATAATTATAATAGTTATAGTAATATTTAGCTTCACTGTTATATCGAGGACACATTTAGCTGTGCTTAAGTAGTTTATAAGTTAAAGTATTATGTGTGCACATAAATTGAAAATTTACATGAACTGCCAGAAATTATTGCATAAAGGGCATTCCTAAATTTAATATAAAATATGACATTAGCTTTTTTCCCTAAAGATGGTGCACCGCCAACGATTTTTTTAATGAATCTTCTATAAATCATGTGTTACAAAAATAACACACCTGAACGATTATTATTGCTAATCTAGAAATGAGAATTAACGTGGTATTACAGCGTGCTCATTTATACAAAAAATATTACATACAGTGCAGAATAATTTGAATGTAATATTTATGAATCAATAGGAAACAAATACGATTGATTTTCAACTTATTTAAAACTCTTCTATGAGTCTTAGGCCACAGTTAGTCGACGCGAAAAACTTCTTGCGGCGACCTCGCGGCTTGTGTTCAGTCATGCAAATTAATGTTTTATTAACTAGGTCACAACATTGTTATTCTTTGAAATTAATTAACCGCGCGTGTCATAAATCACTACGTAGCTGCCACCCAGCCGCCTAGTCTCCTAAACGCGCCCTTACTATGCTCTGTTCACGCAACTCCAATCATAATTAGTGATGTAAAATAGTGGTGTTTCTTTCTCGCACGATTCTCTAAACCTAAACTAAAATTTTACAACGGTGGCGTCGATTCCGGCGTGATTCTCTAAACTTTAACATCAGTCTCTCCTTTTCATTCTGTACAGAGAATGACAAGGATACACTGTTGTCAAATTTAGTTTCTCATTCTCTATTAAGAATGAAAAGGAGAGATTGTTGTTAAATTTAGTTTGAAGTTTAGAGAATTATGTCAGAATCGATACCATTGGTGTCGATACTGACGTGATTCTCTAAACTTAAAACTAAATTTAACATCAGTCTCTCCTTTTCATTCTGTATAGAGAATAACAAGGATATACTGCTGTCAAATTTAGGTTTAGTGAATCATGCTAGAATCGACACCATTATCTACTTTAAAGCAGCGTAAAGGCAGCATCCTGGAATCCCGGATCGACTGCTACAGTCGGACCACGAGAACTTTGCTGAGTGAATAGTCTGGTCACACCAGAAAAACTTGATTTGGCAGCCCTTTTTGACGTCATTCATAAATGTCATGTCATGCGAGAATTTTTTGTTCGAAGATTTTTTTTTTAAAATCTGCATCGGAACAAATTGAGTTAGAACTTAAACAAAAATAGCAATGTTATAAAGAAATCTTAAAGTCAACGAGTGAGTTTCTATCAATTTCTTGATACCTACTTGTAAGCTTTTTGTATTTTTATTTACATTTCAACAGTTACATTCTTTCCCTATTTTTGTAACTAAAAAGGTAAGGTTAGATAATAAAGTACCTATTGTTTTAATTGTGGACGAACACTTGTTTCGTAGCATTTATTTATCAATTGTTTATAAAAAAATATATTTATTTGTGGGAGTAATTGTATTACCAACATTTTTACAGTTCATTAATTGAAAAAATGAATTCTTTTAAGGTACTTTATCTGCAGATGATCGTATAATAATTGGAAATGCTTTGCAGAGTTGACCATACAAGAGAAATCAATCAGGTTGAGTATGAATGGAGAGATACTGAAAATGTAAAAGGAGAGGTTTAGTATCAAGAAGAAGAGGATAACGAGGCAATAATATGAAGGCATTAAAGTTGTGGATTCGAATCTTTCTTTCAATGATTTACAGAGTAGTTAACAATTTAAAGGAAAAAATATTTTTGTTATTTAGGCAAAATAAGAATCATCCAAATCTATATTGAAGATATGCGCGAACAACAATAAAACTGATTTTGCCAAAAAAAGTTTTTTTACCTTTTAATTCAAAGGCCAAAAATCCAAAATAGCATCGAATATCTAAGTATGTCATGCTAGGAGCAATTATTATTTACTCCTAGCTGGAATTCTTTACCTGTTTTATGTTTCTTAAAAAAAATCGAGCGAGCCTTATAGTAGTCGCTTATGATGTATAACATTTGAAACCTCATCTTATATAGAGTGAAATTGAATGTTTTAATGAAACTTCGTGAGATTGTTGGGTTACATGTATAGAGTATGCCTGATTTTTTTCGGAATTTTTGAAGTATATTTTTTTCATGTATTTATTTATGATTTGTGTATTTTTATGTCCTTTCCTCCTTTTGAGTAGTTATTCATTTTAAACAAACAAACTTACATATCCAGTGAAAAATAACTAATAAATAAGCACTTCTAAAAAATGGAAAAACATTAAAATTCCACCGCGGGTCAACGACCGACCGCGCCCGCCAGCCGTTGAGTGAGTAGGTACCTCTACACAGAGTTCAGCTGACTCCTTTGATTCCACACAATACAATAAAGTCGTCTTATGCCTTTATTGAAATAATAAGCACAAATGTCATCTTCTCTTAAGCAGAGAAAAACTTTAAAAGTTAATAATAATTTTGTCACGATTAGAAATAGGCAAATGTTAAACAAAAAGAAATACTTATTGCAGTTCAATACTTGGGTCAGAATAAAATTTATAACCAGGTATTCAAAAGTACTTACGAGACCGATGAACCTATTCATTTTTTTCACTTTAACTTCCCGTATACACTTTGTAAACACAATCAATCACTAAACCTACTTTCGTAAAGCCTTGTGGCTCTGCTGAGTATTCTGTGACACTACAATAACAACACACCATATCCAACTTCTTATATTGAGGCCACAGAACAAGAACTAATCAAGGCGTTATTTGCAAATCTTCTCTTGTCACAAATTTAAAAGATACGCACGCGCGGTTTATAAACTTGACACTGCGCTCGCTCACTGCGCTTTGCAGGTATTCAACGCATAGGTAGGTATTCAACCGATTCAACGGGCGGGAGCGGTCATTGCTCCCGGCCGCTCGTCTTCTGTTTTTACGTTTTTTTTAGTAGTGCTTATTAGTTGTTTTTTACTTACTCTGTATGCGTGTTTAAAAAGAATAATTATTTAGTACCCAAAAGGAGGAAAGGACTTAAAATATAACAAAAAAAAACGATAAAATTTCGTTTTAAATCATTTTTAAAAAATCCGAAAAAATTCAGAGATACTCTATATAAGTAACCCAACAATCCCACAAAGTTTCATTAAAACATTCAATTTCACCCTGTATAAGTAAAAAATAAATAAAACCTACTACAGAAGGAATTAAGCTATTTGAACATTATGTTCTACAA